CATTTGGTCAACCAACCATTTGCCAGCCCTATGCTTAGTGCATAACATTAAACCCCAATCTTAAACTAACATCAAGTTTTTTATATTAGTAGGGATCAATTACCTATCTTGTAGATTTTAAGATGAATGGTTAAATTATTAAATTAAATTAAATATAATAAAGCCCTTATACTTGTTTGAATCTGGACCTCTTTGTCGAGTCAATGGCCATTTGGTTAAGGCTGGCCCAAATTTAGAACTTTTGGGCCATGAAGGTAGTGACTCAAGATACGGTTGTCGTAAGTGAGGCCCACCAAAATCTAACGAGAGGAATTTGCGATTTGCCCCTAACACGGCAACCATAGAGCAAAAGGAAAAAAAAAAAAATCAACTCTAAACAGCTCAAATCTCCGGTAAAAACTTATCTTTAGCCTTTTACTTCACTAGATTTATATATTTTAATCTCTTACTTTATACTATAACATTTTTAGTCTTTTATCTATTACAATTAAAGAAAATAGCCCTCACTTATATCGTTGTTAGTTTTGTTAGTTGAATATTAACTATATTAACTGATTATTAACTAACTATTAGCTAGTAGGAACCTACTTTTACTTAATAGAGTTAACAGTCAATTAATAAAACTATTCTATTAATTGAGTGTTAATTCTATTAATTGAGTGTTAATTCTATTAATTGATTATTAGTTACCAAAAACTTATTTTCAGCTAACAAAATTAACAGTCGTTAACATAACTAATGAAATATTATAAAGTAAGTGCTATTTTCTTTAATTCTAATAAGTGAGAGGTTAAAAATGTCATAATATAAAATGAAAGGTTAAAACGTATAAATTTAGTAAGGTAAAGGGCCAATAGTAGGTTTTTGCCCAAATCTCCCCTATCTCTTCTCCACGTGTCAATTTATATTACAAAACCCCAAGTGAAGTAAACCTCTTTATTAAATATATTATCCATCATTTTTCCATTTTCCTAAATTTCAAACTAAAATTCATGAATAACTTAAAAAGGAAATTCTTTAAACGGCGTCACCGTCCTTTTTCAAACAACTAGTTGATTTTATGCTCAATTTTTGTTTATTTATTTTTTAAAATTAA